TGGCTACAGCCAGTTGTTGTTCCCAAGTGATATGGATGAAGACTCAACTAAAATACTATGGCGTAGAGTTTGAGAAGATTCCAATTCTGTGTGACTCAGAGAGTGCTGTCGCAATCACAGCCAATCCTGTGCAACACTCAAAAACAAAGCACATCGATGTTCGATATCATTTCATCAGGGACCATGTAGAGAAAGGTATGATTGAAATGTTTTTTGTTAGTACAGATTTACAACTTGCTAACATTTTTACAAAAGCTCATGATGAAAAGAGGTTTAATTTTATGGTTAGCAAGTTGGGTATGGTTAATCTTTCAAACTAGAACAGAGACTCTGTATGTACTATACAGAGCCTCTGCCTCCCTTTATGCATACTTCTGTTTTATTGATTTGTATTGATCCATGAGACAGAGCCTCTGCATTGTACACGCAGAGCCTCTTACTCTAAGTCCGTGTTGTTTTGTGCTACAGAACCTCTGTATAGTACATACAGAGCCTCTGTACCTTGATTATTATTCATATGCTCTGCTTATCACAAATTATCGAAGCATAGTTCAAGAGGGAGCATATAAGAAGAGCTCAAGTCAAGGGGGAGCATGAGATCATGTCACACAGAGCCTCTGTATATACTATATACAGAGCCTCTGCTTCAAAAAAATTCATGATTATAGAACAGAGCCTCTGTATGTACTATATAGAGCCTCTGCCTCTAAACATAGCAAGTTTTCTACAGAGGACATGTATAGTCCAATAACGACTCTCTATATGAGATCCTAAGATATGTTGTCTTCTTCTGCATGTAGTACTCTGGTCTCTACAAAACCTCTACTTCTTACTAACCAGAGTATTTACTCCTGAAAATCAAAATATATTATTTTATTAAGAAGGCGTAAGGTTTATTTTAATTGTTTAATAAAAGTTGTCACCTACATTAAGCGACACCGCCTGTGCGTTTATCTTTCAAACGTGGGAGGCGCCACTTGCAGCTGACAGTCCACGTGGTGCGCCCACACAGGCTGTAAGAAAATCGGTTCGGTTTTTACCTGACGTTTGGGGCGCTAAAACACTCAAGTGTTTTTTATTTTATTCTATTTAAACAAATTTTACCCCCAAATTAATCTTTTACGCTTTCAAAATTTTTCAAGAACTCCCGTCGTCTTCAACCTTCAGCCGCCATTGCTACAACTTCAAGCTCTCAAATCAGTGTTCAAAGATCGATACATGTCACACCCCGCTAAAGCGGAAATACGAGGTATGACAGGTGGAGTCCCATAGCAATAGAGTATAAATAACACCACCATACATTAAAATTTCATTACATCACAATCCAGCGTTTACATTCCCAAAACGACAAGTTTGTAAAAAAAATAAAAAAAAATTCAAAGCTGATGATTGAAACACGACTTCTTTTAAATGCCACTATATGCCTTTCTTACCCCTGAAAAGCACGTTAAAACAAGTGTCAACTACAAGAGTTGGTGAGTTCATAGGTTTTCATTGTACAACAAATCTTTATGCAATAATTAGTTCGAGTAAGTGTTTTTCTTACTCGCAACAACTTTCATACGTGTAGCACTTTTAACGAGGCACAATGTACTCCAAGTAATTTTAAGTGTTGGACCACTACTAAACTTGCAACAACTACGCCCTTTATACCAACTACCTCAACGGTGGTGTTGAAACCACATGTGTAGAACTCGTGTTTTAGTTAAATGCACCCCTACTCGTTGGTAAAAGGTGGGATTGTCAATCCAAATAGCACTATCCATTAAACCATCGGCTCATACAAGTTAATAAGTAGTGTAACCAAGTGGGACTTTTTAATTAACCCAAACACAATTTTTACTAGCATACATGGTGTTAGTGCTCGTATTCACAATTTAATTTCAATGCATTTTTCATATAATCAATTTGTATCCATGATTTAAACACATTGTATATTTCATACAAATATCAACTACTTCTATACGTGCTTTTCACCCAAATAACGATGGATTTAGAAAAAGGTGCCGTGAATACTCACCTTTTCTTTCACGGAGAAGATGGTTGAGTGATCAAATGGTATGTCTTGATAAAGTCCTTTTAGTGAATCCCTATAAAAAACGAACGATTGTCAAACTCTTAAAGGTTAAGGTTACTATTCTACCTTTACGTCTTATAAATGCCTCTTTATGTTCTTAAGAATAAAAAAAAAAAAAATCAAGTTTTAAGCACTTTATATGCTTATTATGGGGTTTATGGTTTAAGAGTCCAATCTTTAGTGGTTTTAGGAAATCATGCATGCTGACAGAATCTTTGTGACTCAAAAATGTCCATAGTTCACCCTTATCCAAGAAGTATATTTCCCAGAATTTTTTATATGTTTTTGTATACTGAATTAGGATCATTATGACCAAAACTCAAGATTTTTGGATGAGTGGAAGGGTCTCAAACAAATTTTACCAAAACAGTGATTATAGCTTTCAAAACAGAAAACCCCTTCTTAATGTTACACCCTTTTGAAGGAGTTATACTTATTATTTTCCAGTGGTTCATAAATCGTTTTAAATCTAAGACATAAGGATAACTTATCCAAAAAGAATCACTATATTTGGATGTATAGTTTGGGAGTTATGGTTGTTTAAACATGCATGTGGAAATCTGTCAAGTCTGGACATATTGCACACTTATTTTGTAAAAATCGGTTGAACCCCTAAATCACCATGTTTATGTGTGGGGTTAGACTATTTTGAACTAACGCTTTAGGATATACTCCAGAGGTAAAGTTTCATGAGTTTTGATGTGTCTTCTAAGAGTTATAGATAAACAATGAGACACAAAAGTTCTGACCGACCACTGTTGCACACCAAATTTGTTTTTGGTGTTGTGAGGTCATAATGTCATATTTTCTTATGATTTCACTTGGGTATGAAAACTAATACACTAAATATTATTGAGGAAAAATATTCATGCTTATTGGGTCAATACACAACTAGATATGGTTGTTCCAAACTCATGCAATGAATCTGTCCAGAAGTAAAGTCATTCTTTTATACAAAAATGAATTTTTATGCATCAAAATTTCCAAAAATGATGATTTTATGGAAGACGATCACTATACTATTCAATATTAAAGTAAGAATATATAAAATACACTATTCTTGGTAACAAAAAGTGAAAGAGAACTCAGATTCCATAAGAGACACAAAAATGCAAGAAATGAAGGGTTTTTCTTGCTTTTCAAAAGTTGTAGATGGTTAGGTCACGAATTTTCACCATATTAAGAACATTTTTCATGTCTTTGGTGTAAAATCTAGCCTTAGAAATTAGAATGAAGAACACCTCTCCTTTGCAATCTTAAAAGTATGAAAACGACAATAAAATGGCACTAAAAGTGCATAAAATGAAACCAAAATTCTAACAAGTTGTTACCTTTGATTAAAAGAAGATGATTTCTTCAAGTTTTGTTTCTTGAGTTCCCTTTTATTTTCTATGAAAGGCTGAATTTTTCTTGAAGAAGAAGATGGAGGGAGAGAGTAAGGAGACGAAAAGTGAGGGAGAGTAAGGATGTGAAAGGTTGAGAGATAAATGAGAAATGAGTGTTTTAAAGTTTCAAAATGTTTTTATATGGNGGGGGTGGGGGCGGCCATGTGGTGGGCCTATGGGCCTCCCTTCAATTTTTTTTTTTTGTAAAAACTTAGACCATAATTTAATTAGTTGGGTACTTTTGTGAGATATTGAGAAAAAGGCCCAAATTCCTATTTTATGAAATAAATAAATTTCTTAAATATAATTTTAAGTAAAAAAAATATTTAAAATATGTAGACTCTATATTTTATGCAAGTTTTAAGAATTATTTGAAGTGTTTGGCATTTTATAAGATGATCCGGTTCATTACGGGTCGAAACAGTGTTTTCTACGCAACATACCGAGATTTCTAACTACTTAAGCTCTAATCGCTCTACTCGAGTGTTAATAATATTTGCAAAGTGCTATCTAGCTACTAACCTGGTATTTAAATTTCCGGATGTCATAATTCAGCCTTCAACCGATCATCCCGTTTGTCAAGTAAGTCCCATAAACTGTTTCCTCCAACCCATTCTCGAATCAATAACTGGTTCTTGAAACCCTATATTTCTTTAAAATCTTCTTCCACACCTAAAACCTGCAAAAATGTCCTCACCCGAATCTAGAAACTCCCAAACCCACACAACAACCCACAAAACTATAGAGGATACTAGTCAAAACCTAGTTCCTCTTCCTATCAAACCGAATAACCATGCCCTAAACCTCTAACTTGAAAACTTCGACACCAAATACCATCCCATCATTAATATCCTCCAAAACCACTTCTTAAACCCAGCCCTGACAAACACAGATGACATTGTTCCTGAAAGGTACATCCAAAAATACTGGCAATCCTGCGACGTTACTAAATCTCAACGAGGAATAGTTGGAGATTTCTACGTCTCCTCATAAAACGAGTTTGTTACTATGCGAATTTCAAGATCAATGTTTTCGCGGGTTCTTGAAATCCCAACGAAAACAGACTTACAGCTTTCTGAGTATGCCCATCTCCCATCTGGGGATGAGATAGTGGCCTTTCTGAAGTTGTTAGGGTAAAACAAGGCCATTCAATACCCGTCACAGAATCGCCGTCAATACCTACCACCAATGTGGAATACACTTTTCACATTGGTCAACAGATCGCTTACTGGGAAGATAGGGAGCCTCGACATGTGCTCCACAAATGTTCTTCAGATCGTCTACGAAATCCTCTTTGACTTATCTCTCGACTACTCCTTGATACTCTACACAGAGTTCAAGGCTGTCGTGGCCAAGAATTGTCAAGAAGTGGCCAAAGGAAGACAGTTGTCGTCTCTGTTATTTCCATGATTCTTGGGTCTTCTCCTAAGACCAGCTCTTGATGACAACAATATTGATGTGGGTCGTCTACCTCCTCACAAGGTAAATGTGCTCACTCAATACAGACCAACAGTGAACAACGAGGGTTATGAAGCTATATGAAGTCCAAGGAGATTAGAAGATCGTACAGACGTATACACAAGACACTAGAACCAGTGTCTCGAACCCCGTTACGCATAGGAACAGTCGAGGAAGAAGAGAGGACTGAGGATACATCAAGGCTTCAAGCAGAGGGTGAGACGGTGAAAGTAGGTGAAGAGAAGATGAGAGCAGAGGAAGAAAGGGTGCGAGTGGAGCAAAAGAGAGCAAAAGAACGAAAAATAGAGGAGGCAAGGAAAAAGGGAGCTGAGAGGGAGAAAAAGAAAAAGGAAGAAGTAGCGCGAGCAGAGCAAGAGAGATTGGCTAAGCTTGCTCGTGCTAGAGCAGAGGCAGAGCAAGCAGAAAAAGCCCGCCAAGCAGAAATCACTCGTTTGAGTGAAGAGGCCAAACTCATAGTAGAAGAAGAGGCTCGTCAAACCTTGGCTCACTCCTCTAGTCCAAACCAAGGGTTGACCATGAGCACTACGATGATGCTGCACGGTATTATACAAGTGAAGAAAGTGAGGAAGAAGAGGAAGAAAGTGAAGAAGAAGAGAGTGAGAAAGAAAAAGAAAGTAAGGAAGAAGAAGAGGAGAGCGAGGAGGAAGAAGAGGAAGAAGAAGAGGAGAGCGAGGAGAAAGAAGAGGGAGGAAGTGCAGTAGCAGCTCTGCCTCAGGGCGAGCCAGAGCAGCCTAGGCTAAATAGGCACACAAGCTTTACCTCCCCAACTCCCAGTGCAAACACATTATCTGACTCCAGTGGTCGAGACATCAGAGTCATTGAAATAGAGGTGCACACATCGAACCCTAGCCAGCCAAACCAACCAGAGGTCGCATCTGCCTCTGGTTATAACAGCCAAAGGGAAGCCTCACCACAGGGAACACCCTCTCAAAAGGGTGCAACCTTTGAAAACGTAAGTCATATGTCTCCCCATATCACGCTACTTTCCCCTACAGAGGAATTTGTTTCCTTTGCACGAGTAGATTCACAGCCTTGTTCAGAGCAAGGACTAGGGGCACTTGGCTTTGAGGCTCTCGATCGGTCTCTTAGCCCACTCATGGAGAGCCCTCTGGCTGGCTCTGAACCAACCTTGGGTCCTCTCCCTGACAGAATAGAGGTAGTGAATTCTCCTCAAAAAGAACCACGAGGATTCTCTGGAAGTCCTTCCCCGACTAACGTCAATCAAGTCGTGAATGAAGGCATCCCTGGAACAAAGACTCACTCTGGCCCATGTGTTGAGCCAAAGGTTACACCACCTACATATGTCACTAGGGAAGAGTTCCATTCCCTTTGCACCTCTATGCGGTGGTCCTTGGAAGAGCTAAAACTCATCATGGCCCGTACAGAGCCGTCCCCTTCTGCACCTGCTCTGGATGAGATAAGAGCATCCTTAGCAGTACTAAGAACTGAGTCTATGAAAAATGCTTCTCGTATCAACAATCTCATGGAATTGACGGCACACAAAACAAAAATATTGCAAAAAGTCATCGCATTAATACAGAGGGTTGAGGCGTCCACATCTATTAACAACCACGCCCTCATACCCTCTGAATGTACCTGTGGACTATGTCACACAGAGCGCCATGAATGCTTTGGGTGACAGACTCCTACAGAAGGTGGCAGACTTCACTACGGATTTCAATAGCAAAGCCACAAAAGCGGCAAAGGACATAAACGATACTCTTCTCCGATTCAACTATCGCTTAGACGATGAAATGCGAAAGGTTGGCGTTGAAGTCGACGAACTCCTCAAGACCATAAAGGAGACGATCAAGACAATGCCTCGAGCAGAGGACCAGAGGGATCTATCTCCATGTGCTGAACCGTCAAAGAGGAGGCGACTTGACGATGATGAAGAACCAGACGAGTCTGGTCCTCAAAATTTTCAATAGGGGGAGAACTTACCTACAACCATCCCAAGTACAAGACCTATGGCTGCCCCCTCTACACCAACATCCTCTGCCCCACGCCAACAAGCTCAAAATCCTTCAAGGCAGAGCAGACAAAGCCAACCAGCATCAGACAACACAGAGGCGCTTCGCAAAGGAAAAATGCCAATAAATTTGTTGAGTAAATAGAACTTCTTCAATGAACTTCTAAAAAAAGTGAGTAAACAGAATTCCATACTCGATCTCATAGATACATATAGAAGCAGAGCCAGCCTTGCCACAAAAGACTACAAAAGTGATAGATCTTCTATCTGTTTATGGATCAGACGATTCAGACCTGGCTCTGTCCTCTTCAACAGAGTATGCTATGGACATGGCTACTCCTTCAACCATAACCAAACAAGAATAAGAGGTGGTCGCTGTGAATGTGACTGATCTGTCACTCTTGCACATTCCAGTTGCCATTCCTCTAGAAGAAGTCACCGTTGCTGCTCCTCCACCACATCCAAAAAACCCATAGAGCTAGGGTCCTTGCCCAAGGGACCAGGGTTGTCACTCCTGCAATGAGGCAACATGTACCTGTTAAGCCAGACAGAGCGAACACATAAGGCACAACCAGCGGGCAAAAATGGAAGCATCCTTCTAATCGTGTCCAAAGGATTAAAGCAAGTATGGATGCCATGTTCACGCCAACACCCCTCAACAAACCCATCATGGACAAGGCTGACAGCAAGGAGATCTACCAGTACCTCTACAACCTAAGAGAAGAGACACCAATCTAGAAGATCATTCTTCATCCTATGGTCCAAGAGCACATCGGGTAGAGATTTATAGCTTGCTACACTCAGCCAATCACTGCAGTCCACTTCGCAGATGGAATAAAGCAGATCATTGATATAAAGAGGCGCACCTTCGCACATAATTAGATTGTTTTCCATGAGTATACAGTGGAGAGGTCTCACGGACGGATATGTAGGTTCACAAATTGTAACCTTATTAATCTGAATCCATGGGATCTTCTTCATATGTTCTACTTTGCAGATCATAAAAAGGATAAGGGTGTCAAATACGTTGTCGCCAACTCTGCCGTTAGCCAAACAATGACAGACCTGCTTGACTTCAGAAGCAAGTTCGACTTCCAACTAGCTCTGGATCAAGTAGCGGATCAATTGACAATTGCTACTCCAAATGAAGACTTACAAGGCATTAACAGCATCCCCTCCTAGACGGTTTTGGTGGAACTAGAGGAGGGAGTGGTGTTTAGAAACAAGCATAAATAGAATATCTTCTTTCGAGACAACCAAAATTACAAGTACTCCAATTATACTATGCGCTATATAAGAGACAATCTGGTCAGGAGTAGAGACAACTCCCGTAGAGCAAAGGAGCAAGCCAAAATTATCCTAAGGTCGATTCAAAATATGCTTGAGTTTCGTGAACTTCTTAGGAAATTCATTAGACTTCACAATGTTTAGACCTCTTATCTTTTGTAAGTACTTCTTTATTTTTGATTCAATGTAATTTCAATTTCAATCGTATTGTACTTCATTAGATAGTTAACGTAAACCAGAAGTTCATTTTAACCTCTATATTTGGTTAGACTTCTGTTTTGTAAATCAAGTAAGAGTCCTTCTTATTTACAGTTAGGGGGAGATTGTTATACCCCAACTTGTCGAAGTGTAAGTAAGAAGTGTTTTGCTGTAGCCAAATAGGACTTAGTCCATAGAAGCTTTCTGGCTAAGAGCTCTCATCTCATGTAGAAGATCAAGGATCAGAGCTCTTACTCATAGTGAAGGTTCCTTTGATAAAGTCCCCGCGCTCTACCTCCATGAACACTCAAGTCTTGTGCACCAAAAAGCATAAGCGCTTGACTTAAAACAATTCCTCTAAGACCCAGAGCCTCTACATAGTACATGCAGAGCTTCTGCATTTGCAGAGCCTCTTCATAATACATGCAGAACTTCCGTATGTTCATGCAGAGCTTCTGGATACCTTCTTCACCAAAAGCGCGCGTTGGCCCAGACATTCTCGTATAGCGTCTAACAGATTTAAAGCGGCTTGACCAAGTCTGCTTCGTTATTTAAGGTAAGTCAAGGATAAGGATGCAGACTAGTCAGCTCAGAGTTCCACACCTTTTTTATAGCATAGTTTGTTAGACCTAGGCGTATATAAGGAGGCCTCCACCTCAGGGTCAAAGTACCTGAAGGAGCCGACTTATACTATACTCGTATTCTTGTGATATTACATTTTGTTCTTCAATTGTTCATCATTATAAATAAAAGCATTCGGTTATTCAAAGTATTATTCACTGTTTACTTTCATCTTTGAATATCCTGTTTAATCAATAGAAATATTTTGGTGTTCTTAAATCTTATTTTACGCAAACAACATTTTTGCAAATTGAGAGTATCTGGGTTGCAACAGGAAGCCCCAAAGACTCCGTCTAAAGTTTGATGTTTTTTGGGATTGCAAGGCTAATACCGCAAGTTTATTCAAGATTTTTCCAAAATAGTTGTGCCATTAACCAAATTAACTCGGAAGAATATTAAGTTCCAATGGGAAGAAGAATAGCAAAAGGCTTTCCTATTGCTAAAAGATCATCTCTACAGTGCCCCGATATTAACGTTACCCGATGGAACAAAAGATTTTGTAGTACATAGCGATGCCTCAAAACTTGGTTTGGGCTGTGTAATGATGCAAAGAGGAAAAGTCATATCATATGAATCCCGACAACTAAAGGATCATGAAAAGCAATATCCGACTCCTGATATGGAACTGGCAGCCGTAGGAGGCATTTGGCTGGGGCGGAATCCATCGAAATCTGATGGAATTGGAATGGTCAATTTTGTTGAGAAATGCCATTCCAATGTTTGGTTACACGTGGAATGGAATTGAATTCCAAAGATTCCTAAATTTGAGGAATTCACCATTCCTTAATAATGTGATGGAATTGAATTTCATTCCATCCATTAGTGTTTAAATGACATAAATAACCTTATGCTACTATTAAACCCTAGCCGTTCTTTTTCACTTTTGTATTGTTATTGAATTTTTTTTTTAAATATCAAAGTAACGGTATTTTTGTCTTTTTTCATCATTCCATTCCAATTCTGTTGCTAACCAAACAGACAGATTCCAATTCCTTAAACAAATTAAATTCCATCCCGCCAACCAAACACTTGGTCAAACCTGATAACATTCCATTCCAATTCCTTCCAGATTCCAATTCCTTTGACATATTCCATTCCTTCAGAAATCATTTTGTGAACCAAATGGCGCCGTAGTCTTCGCATTAAAGATTTGGAAACATTACCTATTGGGAACTAAAAGCCAGATTTACACAGATCACAAGAGCTTGCAGCACTTGTTCAATTAGAAGGAATTAAATATGAGGCAACACCGATGGATCGAAGTTGTTAATGACTATGAATTTGAAATCCTTTATCATCCCGGAAAAGCCAACACAGTGGCCGATGCCTTAAGCCAAAAAGAAAGAAGTGGAACGATTAAAGTAGTGGTAATGAAAGTTAGCTTAATTCCTGATCTTCATCAAGAAATTTTGAAATGTCAGAAAGAGGCTATGAAAGAAGAACGCATGAAATCAAAAAAAGTGGGTAAAATGATTTCCATCATGGAGCCGAATAATGAAGGGATTCTATGTTTTTGTCACACCCCGTTAAAGCGGAAACACGAGATGTAGCAGGTAACTGTGTCACATCAACAAATAATAAATAACACCATAAGTTTTACAAGATTACATCCATAACCAAGTTGGTGTTTGAATACTTCAAAACAAAGTTTACAAAATACACAAAATCATTGTTGTGCACCCCCTTTCTGGTTGGGACTGTCAACACAATATCGGCTATCCACAAATACCACGACTTGGGGACATGCCCGAGTTAACAAGTAGCGTTTACGGACGGGGACTTTATTTGGAAATATACTCTCAAGTACATCAATTTATCATTTATATCATAGTGCAAAACAATCAATATTTCATGACATAAACAAATCTTGACTAAACAGTTCTTTAGTCCACCAGTTTTATAAATAAACAATATAGTTTGCATAACTTCATGCTTTTCTCCCAGTTTAAATAAACAAAAAGCATTAAAAGTGGGGCCGTGAATACTCACTTGTTTGTTGTTTTGAATATCTAAGAGCTTGACAATGCTTGAAGCTCTAATCGTCCACCCTAGACTTTACTAAACAGTCCAACTTCCAGAAATTAGATCACCTATAGGTTCTCGATAAAGATAAAGTTAAGTATGTCTTATGTAATGCCATTGAGTTTTTATGATTTAAAGTTGATACTTATATTATTTGCTCTTTGAAATAGTCCAATATTTTATATCCAAGTCTTCAACACATGAAGAAACACTTGGACAAAATATAAATTCTAAATCTGGAATTTTTGGTCTCACAAATCACTGTCAAAAGAATCCGTCCATAACTCTTTTTGAGTTCAAATTTTTAATAGTAATGAGTTAAACAGATTTCTCCTGAATATCAAGAATTTTGGATGGGTTTAAGGCACTCATTAATACCCTACAACTTTGAGTGACACAGTCCCCAAAACAGATTGCACACACTTCTAGTGACGGTCATTTGGGGGGTTTAAACTCATCATTTTTCAGTGATTTTAACTTTATTTTTAAGCCAACACATAAGCTAGCTTCCAGAAAAAGAATCACCCATTTTCATTGAGTTTTGAAGGAGATGTGACCGTTTTAAAATGCATGCAAGATTCTGTCATCATTGCTCTTTTTGCATCATAATCTGGTATCAAGAGCTTGAAGGCCCAAAACGTAATATTTTTTAGTGAGACTAGTTACATTAGAAATATAGCTCATTAAAATAAGTTCCAAAAAAATAAACCATTTTGGAGGAATAACTAGAGAGATATGGTCGTCCAAAGTAGGTTTTACCTACTGTCAAGTGTGTTGTTGCACACTTATTTTGTTCTAAACATTTGAAGGTTCAAAACTTCTTCAATTTAC